ATTCACAAATTTGTTAATAAAACATACTTGTTTTTATTTTCCTATAAAAATTCGCTTACACTTATTAACAATCAAGAAAATGTTTTATTATTTCTACTTTCTTTTACTTTCTATTCTATAGTATAAAACGGCATGATATATGAAACATCTTCCCCACCCGAATAACGCATGAGTTTTATTTAATTTCGCTTGTGGCCACATCAACCGGCCCTCGCTAAATGTTGGCACTGGCTGTCAAGATCGACAAATACGCCCAAATTATTGCTTTCTTTACCTCTAAATAAAGATATTCCCACTGCCCTGTGGACACTAGTGCGACCACATTTACAACGTGCGTGTTTCGATTTTTGATAGGCCGGAGCTGAATTTGGAATTAGAACGTTTTGTTTTTTATTTCTTTTGTATCCTACCTCTATAAGATGTTCACATGACTGTTTGATAGACCGTAGCTGAATTTGGGATTAGAACGTGCGTTTTTTTTTAATGTATCCTACCTCTACAGAATATTCATAGATACCTAATTACCTTTCAAGATACCTAATTACGGCAAGACGGACGCCTACAATATCTTTTAAAATTCTGCCACCTCAAAATAAGTGACAATAAAAGAAATCAAATTAACTACAAAAAAGTAAAAATGTGTTTAAAATATTTTGGTGATATTGTCTGCATTTCAAGAGTGATTCAGAGTGCTCTAGAATTTTCAGTAGTTCATGTAAAGGCATTAGTATCACATCTTACATAGTTTACCATAAATATTTTAAAACTAAGATGAAATCACACGCTAAACTATATATAATTCCAGATTTATTTTGCATTTATTTCAGATAAGAAACAGTAAATCTGTTGTGTTTTAGGAGAAATGTATCTTTAATTTTTCTTATTTCTTGTCTATCTTATAATTTGAAGTTACGTTTCGGTGTGCAAGTCGGCCAAAAGTCTTTATTTCGTGTCAAATCGATCGCTGGTTGCGGTTAATAGTGGTTCGTTAAGTGCCCACAATCTATGGGGTGCTTTATTGAATTTGGCGAACCCAAGTGGACCTTGCGTTTCGCTAAACTCATAAAAACACTTCTATTCTTGTAAAGAAATTCTGGGTTTATTTATTACCTTCTCGAATTTATATTAAAACAGTGTATTTGGCGCTTATTACTATTTTTTTTATTAAATAGGAATTGATTAGACGAAGCGTTTGAAAATTAACTATGTATTGTTGCTATAACAATATTATGAACTAGCGACCGCCCGCGACTCCGTCCGCGTTAAGAGGGGAGGCGGGCAATGTTTTTTTTCATGCAAACGCTCTCTATTGATTCCTCCTTGATTTTCATCACTAAAAGAAATTATTTTCATACATAAAATATAATTTTACTTATTCTATGCTGCTATGTTTCTTTTTTGCTGACTTGAACAAAGAAACTAAAAGCCCTCAAAAAATGCTAAAAATAAACTATTTTATTATCACCCCACTAAAGACGTCTAGTGTGGAGATTCAATAAGCATTTACAAAAAAAAAGCGAAACATAGAGGCCTAGTCATAATTATACTAGGCCTCTATGTAAAATTTCTTTTACACATATCTAATTTTCAAATTTTCAAAGGATGAACACGTCAAGAGCCAAATCTCCAATTTTGCAATTTCAATACGCAATTTGTAACTTTAACTACGGGCATATTAGATACTTTAAAAAGTTTATTTATCCCGACCCTAGGAGTGTAACAAAAGTGTTAGATCCCTAGGGGACGGGATAAAAGTATCTAATGTCTCAAACCAGGTAATAAACTTTCCAGGTTATGAGCTGTGTATGTGTAAAATTACATCCAAATCCAGTAACAAACATACAAACATTCAAACAAAAACTTTATCATTAACAATATTAGTAGAATTATATTCTTTTTTTTTAAGTGATCGTACGCATTTTCCTAAAGAAATTTTCAAATTAAGTAGCGTAAAAACTGCTCACAATTTATTTTAGATCATCATTTGAAATTTCTTTTGTTTTGAGAACTTCTGAAATTTCTAATTCTGGTACTTACATTTACTTTTTACTTGTAAAATATCCAAGTGCTTGTCGGAGTTAGCACATTCAGGGTTCCGTGCAATAGATATAGAATAATACAACAATAACAATATAGAATTAAAAAAAATAACAATATATTGGTATACTAGTAAAATATAAATAAATATTAATAAAATGCCTTTTCACCAATATTCGAATTCATTAGGAATTTAAAAAACATTTTGTAATAAAAAAAAGGCACTATGACGGCTTCTCATTTATTTATTTTATCAAAATTTATTATAACCAAAAATACAGTTTTTCTATTAAATAAGCTTTAAACAACGTTACCCCATTCGATTGGATAGGTAAAACGTCTCTTTTTTATATGAGAGCCCTCTTAAAAACTGTTCAATACCTACATTTTGTGACAATTTGTATGGATTTAAGTAACAAGGTGTTTTAAGCGTTTATTGTGAAAATTTTAGGACTATGAAACATGTGTGGCAGGCCGACTTATACGCGAGTTTCTGATAGCAATAGGCCTCTATTTTGACTTTTCAGTTATGGAACCCCAAAAAGCGCCAGCCAACACCGAACTTCATTAACTTCTGCTAATGCTCAACAAATTACTGGCATGAATGGTGCCCCGCCGCATCGCATCGCTACGTCGCCGCCTCTGCGACGCGTAACGAGAAAATTATGCCAAGTCTTAGCGGCCTTAATAAAAATTTGTTCGTCTGAGGGAATAAAACTAATGGTCCCCGCACCCTTTATTATTGCTCCGGCTTAGAGGTGTCAGCTGACATTTGTCTCGTTCGGGAAGAAAAAGTTTCATAAAAACAGGCCTCGAAATATTGTACCTAATTGGGGTATTATTAAGTCACTAATAACTTTCCCATCATGTCATAAAGGATCTGTTACCTAATTCACTGTAATTACTTTATTTAATATTCTTTTGCAAATGTTAAATCTTATCTCAATTGTATTAAATTATCAGATGGATTAAATATCATATTTACCAAAATACGTCGCTTTATCCTTGTGAAATCAGCCCGCGGTACAAAATTATGCGACCTCCCTTGACATCTACAACGGACAATAAAATAACAAAGCCAAGTTCACATGGCGATTTAGGCTGCCATATTTAACCGGTAGATGGCGCGATAGGCGCGGCGTGTGCTTTATAACGTTTTAATTCAGCAACACAAGAAAGCACCTTTGATATTATGCCGACTGGCTCGCTGTTGTAACCACGATTCAGTAAAGTTAAATGATAAAAATGAATTCTTTTAGATAAGATTTGATTGATAGTGTCGAAAATTGGTGTGTTAAAAACCCCGAAAATCTAGGGAAATGCTAACTTCTCTTTTCAGATAGGTAGGTATTTCTCGCAATAACAAATGCACAATGACCTAAGTTAAAAACTTTTTTAAACTTTGGTAATTCTTGTTACTTATTTAATCCAATTCAATTTATTGCACTCGTGTGGTTTATTGCACTTTATGAAATCATATTCACATTAAACAAAGACAATAAACTTAATAGTATAAAATGTACTACATAGTAAATACAATATATCTTAATGATAATTTGTTAACCACAAGAACCTGCTTTGTTTTATTTTCTATATCATATCTAACTATCTATATCTTCACGCCGCCGATATCTTTATTTTCTATTTCCTAATATTTTAGTTTTCACTTTTTTGTCCAATTTAAAACATTGTCATGGTAAACCAATGTTGTCAGTCGTCTTTCACTGAAACAGAAATATTACGCACTCTGTTTTGAAAGGAAGATCTACTGGGACTTAAAATACTGTCAATGTTCTTGATGTTATATTTTAAATTGTACATACACACACACACACACACACACACACACACACACACACACACACACAATAAATGGGTTCACACTGTTCCATAGGTCTTAAATAAAATATTTCAAAACTGTATTCCATTTCTTTTTAAAAAAATGAGGTGATTATTAAGACCAAGCTTTTCACTAGGCCCAGCAGTTGAAATCAGTATTGCTTCCAGTTAAATATATGCGCTTTTTTGATTACGCTCCTATTACCGCAACACTTATTCCATAATTACGGCCAAAGGAAAGTGACATGTTTGTCATGACAGTCCCATCATAATTCGGCAAGGACACGCGTTTGGCCAGCCGAATCGTGACAGTCGGTTGGTCGTGACGTGACGTCGTCGGCTCTGATCAGACAATCGAACAGACGGACACACACGACCCAGTGAAATTACTCTGTATGTTTACAGCCATAATCTGTCACGCGCACACAAATTACGTAATGTGTTGCGAAGGAAATAACCAAGTGAGGTAGTCAATACCTCGTTAATTAACCTAAAATTATTGTATGTATACATAATATAATTAACTTAAATTTACATCTAAATAAAATATAAACAAACAAACCACAGAAAATTAAAATATGAAGAACTAATCTACCTCAAATCTTGATTTAATACAAATAAAATTAAAAAGCGCGAGTCTGGCTTCGCTCTTTTAGGGTTCCGTAAAATCATTTGTTTGTTTTCGTCTATATTATTCATCGTCTATGTATTTTATAAGCAATAAAATGATTTTTATTTCAATTGAAAGAACAAAATAGTTTTGTAGCAAGTACTTTAGTTAAAAACTCTTTCGTTGGTAAAAGTAAAAAAACAAAAGCTCGCGACTCCCGCCCGTAAGTTTCCAGCTTTGCTACCGTCAGCCATTTTGTCCAATCCGTCATGCGATGCTATCGGGCGGTGTCGGGTTGCGCGCGCGACTGTTTTACGACGACTTCTAGCTTCCCTTGTTTCAATTTTATGATTTCATACAAATGGGATGATACCTGTGGCTGCAATACAAATTGTTTTGTTAGATTAAAAGCATTGCGTGTCTACAATTTTCTTTGTACTCACGACTAAAAAAACGTTTGCGATAACATGACTGTGTTTAATATCTTTATTAACTGTCAGATATTTTGTTCCAGGTGCGCAAAGTAGAAGAACAGCTGCGGGTTTGGCTATGGAGCTGTTTGAGCAACACCAAGGAACGCACATACTTCAGGTAATGATTAATGGTGTAAAGGAAGCGAATGAATGTGTCACGTAAAAGAGATCGTCTGACAAAATCACCTGAAACATGCTTTGAATTTTAACCTATTACTAGTGTCGCAAAAGCCCATAACAATATCTCTAAATCTACATATATTTCATTTTGATGTTGTAACACAATACTAATCCTGGATTAGTTTGTAATCTATATCTCTGGTTCTGTATCAAAGCATTGGGTTTCCATTTTGTTCCTATCGAATACAGTCATTGTTAAGTTAGATAACTTACCTACCCCACTTTTCAGTTGAATGACTGCCTTACTATATTACGTTAACAGACTCGCTTCAGAAGATGTCACTAAAATCAGAAGCCCGAGTGACATTGAAATAGGCACACGATTTAATGTGTTTACTTTCATCGTGACCACAAAAAGTAACTAACTTCACTACGCACTACAAAAGGCGAGGCGAACTTGACTCATTGCGCAAGCGACTTCACGCTTTTTACAAACCGTATACACAATGGCACACGTTCAATAGACCTGTGACACACTCAAGAATAGCTTTGCGAAACACCAATTTGATATTTCACCGGTTTCACTAAAAATTTCATAACTCTAAAATTAATCAAACACACGCTTTCTGGGGCAGTCTCAACACAAAGATAGGGTTAGCCGAAAAAAAATCTATTATAACTTACTGTCATTCGATCACGTAAATTATTATTTGTGCAATCAATGTTCGTGTCGTTATAATGTTGTGGGTGCTGCGGTTTCTATTCTGAACTGAAAATGCTCTGTACGTGATTCCTTAGTTCGATTTTCATTTTTTTTTTGTTGGCAAATGCAACAGTTTGCGGGACAAGTGGTACGTTTTTACAAAAAAATAATAAGGACGTGCATGAAGGCACGCGAACTTGCAAATCATTGTTAGTTGTTGCATTTTGCAATAACTTTGTTAGTTGTACTATGAAAACTGAGCAGATAATGTTTGTAAGCATTGAAAAGTTTTTGTGACTATTATATTATCAATGTAAGTATGCTGAATTTGGACGTGTAGCATTTAGAAGACAGTCCGAGGCCTACTTAACTGTTTATACAGTTCAAGGTTAATAGGCAATTCCATATAAATATGAATATAAACAACTTTTATGTAGTTAGGTAGATCCAACTATTAAAAGATCTATCTTCTTTTATCGAAGAAATGGTACTTAGATTATTACTAATAAACAATGTCTCCTCGAGTTTTTTAATAAATACCTTGTTGATGTTACGCAAAGTCAAGTAAGTACCTAGTGGTTCAACTAAAGCAAAAAACAAATAACTAATTTATACGTAAACATCACACACGAATTCAACGAAAACTTAAGTTTGAAAGTTGTGGAGAAAAACGTCGTTAATGAGATGAGAAGTTTTCTATCCTTATCTATATCCATCATCACAAGACTTATGAAAACTACATCGATAACTGTCTTAATAATATATTAGTTTGCGCGGAAATAAAAGAAACGAGTAAGTACTTACTTATTGCATTACAAAGTAAATGAATGAAAAAAGGCAAAGCATTCCGCATTTCTTTTCGTAAGTATATCTCAGCTTCCGAAAAGACTTGTAAATATTCAAGATAAGTAACATTACTTAGTTCTCGAAGAAATTACATAACATCAACAATATAACGAAGTTTGATACAATATTATAAAGAAAATTATATACCCATTTTGATAAGTCGATAAAAAAGGTTTATTGTTTGAGTTCAAAACTAGGTTCACGTACAATTCGACGCAAATAAAAGATCAAGCGCACCAACAATAGTCTATTACTGGCATAATCCGTGCTTTTTACTCTGTTTTCGACTATCATCATCTACCGTTTAAACGCAGATTTTTTAACAAAAAACTTATTCATTTCGGAGGTTCATTTTGTCAACCGTGCATCTCATTAAAATTTAGATAGATCAGAAGATGGTACTGATTAAAGAATAAAAGTTGTACTGGAAGTGATTTCGCTGTAAAATAGAAGTTATATTTCATTTGTCAGCTGGTTAGTGTTTGATAAAGACAACATTTACTAATTGCAAACCTGATATTGCATGTCCTCTTCCACGCTAAGCTGGGAGAGAAAAAAAAGAAGTATGGCGTTGACAACCTTATGAGTAGTGATTAAATTAATTACTACTATATAGTTATATTAATTATCTTATCGAACTTGGTAGTCAAGAAAACTATTGTAGTTAAACTATCGCTATTATTTCCGAAGTACCTATAGCTAAGGCAAAACGAAAATCAATCAAATCAATAAAACATATTCGTTTACCTCAAACAAATTAAGTGATAATAGATAAGTAAGATACAAGTGATTTCAACCTACAACGAGTAGGCAAACCATATTCTGTGTTCAAGTCATGTCTAAATAAATAAAAAAAGGTTGGTTAAAAACTTTGTGTTGCCGATTCAGAAATTCTCTGACATACCTTTTTATTTGCCAAATCGATGATTTATGTACGTGTGTAACAAATTACTACCTAATGTGAAGCGGAGAGCTAGTAGGATGGAAAATGAAGGCTAGGATTTTGGACGCAATGGTTTATTTACATTATTTAAAAATTATACACAAAATAATATTAAAGAAGATGATGAGATGACAGACATAGACTACGCGAACACAATAACAATTTTGATAGCAAAAATCATAAATATGAAAATGCTTTAAAAACACTTCAAAAACTATAAAAACTAAATCTATCAAAAAAGGTCGGCAAGAATTATAATATTTAAGAAAAACAACTCGATAGACTCTTTTCTAGTAGCTTTAAGTTCATGTTGTTCATTTGGCTCGTGGTAATCGTTTTTATTCATCATCATCATTCTATTTGTTTAGCTTTTTTTTGTCTAACCAGAAAATTGATGCCAGATGTAGCTGTTAGCTTTACTAACAAAGCTTTGTGGACACCGAAACATTGACGCCATGCTTTCATGATAGATGCAGTTCTTACCAATTTCACTGTACAATTACTTCTCCAATAACGCATTTTTCGTGCTTACTTGAGCTTCGATGCCAAGACTGTCTTGTATTTTTTTTTTGGATTAATAACCATGGCTGCTTAGTACCTATTTTTGTAGTCACCTCAGGATAATGCTCCTACCTGGGGTTTGACCTAGGACCTCGAGATCAGGACCGAAAGACTAACATGGCACCAACGGATTGTCAAACTATTACTTTATATTTTTTTATTTTTAAGTATATAACTGCTAGATGTTTAAAACTAAAAAAATATTTACTAGAAAATCTCCACGCGGACAAAGCAGACAGACTCGACTCGAACCTGCACTCTTCGCTATCCGGGCGAATACACTGACCATTATTTCGGGTTCGCGTCCCGTGTGCTGCCTTGTCCGCGAAGAATTTTTCTAGGAAAATTTAAATTTGACCTAGATGAGATTTAAACTATTACTTATCTTTACAATTTTTACTTTCCGAAACAATTTATATACAAAAATGTTTCTCGAGTGTCTGAATTTGAAATTTCGTTGATTATTAATTTGTATTTGTTATATTTTTGCTTATTTTAATAAATGCAAATAGATATTTTAGAGTGCAATAACTCAATATTCTTCTTGATTTCAATTATAAGTAGATACTAAATTATTTTTATTTATATAGACTAAAATCAACATTTCAATGTTTAAAAACCTCTTGTGACATTATGTGAATGTCCAAAACGTGTGTAGGTATTGAAGTCTACCGCAAAACATAAGATTACTTTTGGAAAATTTCTCTCCAACTGCGTAGGTAGAGTCCTTATTCTTTCATAAAATTTTAATATATTGTTGTTTTTTGTCCACAGTCTCTCGACGGGTTTGCCTTGTCAGTGGCAGCCGACGGAAGATTCCTGTACATATCAGAAACTGTATCTATATATTTAGGATTATCACAAGTAAGTATTGTTATTATTGTATAGTTTAAAAGTGCATAACAATTCAAAACTGAATTATATTTAAAGCACCTACTTATACTGTTTTAACAATAAAGAAATAATTACGTTTAAAGACAGAATGATAAGAATAACACCTACCTACCCATCAAATAAATTACAAGAATAAGGCCGTGTTCCACCTACAAAAATGTTTGACAGTCTGTGCGACAGCAACTTGCAAATGTATCCTACGTAGCAAGTACGCTCGCGTCAGCATTGCAAGTTGCTGTCGGACATTTTCTCGCAGAAGCTTTCTTGCAGGTGGAAACACGGCCGTATTCTTATAATTTATTAAACGCGGCCTTAGGAAAGCAATAGAAAAGTCTGATTATTCGAAATTGTAAATTTAATAATTACAAAGAAATTAAAATTTAACGGTCAAAAATAGGTATCTGACGTTGACGAAATTAAAGTTCAAAACAAATTTTCGTCTAAAAAGGCTTTAGTGAAACGAACCCAAAAGTTCCAATTAGTAGGTACAACGAGATGCATCGAATAAAAAAAGAAAAGGTTGGTATATGTAATTGCATCTATTATCAGGTGCACACCTACTCACGCTCGCGACACGTCCGCGATGCATAGATACACAACCATTCACACACTCGGTACGGTCGGCAGAGATGATCTAAAATTTTCGGCGGCGCTAGAAAGACATCCGGACAGATCGTAGATAAATCCTTTTACGCGTGTCGCGTTATGCCTTATACGTGGCTCGTTGTCTGTATCACTGTTTTCGAGAATATGATCTTTTAGTAGGTAACATGTTCCCTGAATTAAATCCCTTTTGGAAAGTTTTGTTCTTTTCTTTTCGGTGATTGACAAACTTTTAAGAGAGAAAATAGAAATGGATTGGTATCTTTTCTAGTTTGAGCTTTTATTAAAACTGTTGAATTTTCCGGGTAGATGTAGATACAATTCATATGACAAAAAAGTTATTTTGAATGTCACCCCAATAGTGTACTTAAAACACAATAAAGGTAGTAAGGTATTTAAATAAAAGTAAGATATTTAAGCCCTGAAAAAATCATTCTGACGAACAAGCAATAAAATCTACAGCCGAATGAAATAACGTTACAAAATTAAAAGGCTCTCAGAAAAGATGCGAAAACTGGGAAATTCTCGTTCCCAACATGGCTGCAGGCTTCGGGGGTGGTGTGACGGAGACGGAAAATGGGGGGAAAGGGACGATGCGATATGCCAGTCACGTCGCGGGTAAGGCGCGCGCGTGCCTTCCATCCTAATGCCGCTGCGAACCTTACCACTCACACACCCCCAATCGAACGCACACAACCAAACCAACTCACAGACACAGCCGGGCCCATAAGTCTTCGCCTCCTGTGTGTACACATATGAAATATATACAAACTTCCCGGTAAATAAGAACAGACGCAACTTTCTTATAACTAGAGCCCTGCAGACGGCCCTGCTATATTAAATTCTATTGCGAGCATTTTTTCGGGACTCGCTAAAGACTGATGATAACATCGAAAATGGGAAATCATATTTTTCTTTCTTAGATAAATGGAGAAAATGGATATTTGCTTTTGTTTTCACATTCTGCGTGGATATTATTTAAAATATTTCTTATCGTGTGTCCAACTAAGAAAACATTTTTATATCAATCATTGAACACGTTGATATGCCATTAATCACACAGATTTCTTCAGGCTGTGTTTTAATAAGCATCATTAATAAAGTTTTTTCTATTCTTTGTTCTGTGAAAAGGTTTTTTTTTTCTAAAAGAGTGACAGAGACTGGGATTCGCCAATTGAATTTAGGTAGGTACGTAACAGAATATCGGGCCACAGTAGAGTGAAGATTTCCGTAGTATTTAAAGTATTTTCATTCCCGTTCTGAACCTAACGTCGAAGAAAACAGGGTCAAAAAGCAATCTGATTTTTCAACAACAGTTGAAACCTTTTCAATAACGGTATAGAAGTAGTTTTTAAGTTCACAGTGACGATGAACTTATACTTTTAAATTTCAATACCCACGGACTCCCAATTTTTGTTTGGGGTTGCTGAAACTACAGTATATTTTAAAATAAATAGGACTTATAACAACTTAAATTAGGTAAGAAATTCAAGAACTGATTAATTAGGCACGTAAGTACTCAGTCTCTGTACCATAACTTATGAAACATCATAGTGTACTTACATGACCGATTGTCATCGAGAAATACCGAACGATATTTATATACGACACGTAGAGTTTTTCAGTAAGATTTGAGGCGTGAATCTGATCTGATCTAGAAAGAACATAAGAATATTTTTAATTAATATCATTAAAATAATAAAATGCTGGTAAAATATCATTAGAAAGTCTTCATTTGTACCTAACACCAAATCTGATAACTTTTACGGCATCGGTATGTAAATGTTTTAAATATATTTATCAAATTATAATTGTGGGATCCTATTAGAGATTCAAGAGTCGTGTATCCGCAGTGTGGCGGCGCATCGCAATCCCATGAACAATGGTGTTTATGTGGTGGTCTGTTCCTGGAATTATGGTTGGATTTTATGACTTTATTGGCCGACCGCGACAATCCTGATCGTTGACGCGCGATGTATATTAGAAAAAGAAAGTCTAATGCCTGTTTTGCAATCGATGCGTAAAGTTCTATGTAAGCTACTTTAAACATCAAGTTGCGTTCAGACTTTGTATAGTTATAGTATTATAGCTTATAGCTAATAGCACGATATCTCCTACCATAAATTTACATAGAACACACTCACATCTAGTTACACTATTGCTATTGTATGAACTTGCTATACGCGCTAAACTTTATAACGAAATATTACCTACCTATAACGTAGTCTAAACGCACTTTTATGTTCAAAGTAGCTAACTTAGAACTTTACTTATCAATAGTGAAAGAGGCTCTTAATCTCGCGCTTAGCGGGGTAGATATTACTTGAACTGTATTCTTGAGAAGTAAGAAGCTATGCCATGAATTGCTATGGGTTCTCATAGTCGACCCAAAATCGTCCTTCTTGATCATAGTTTAATCTAATGTGGGTCATCTTCATATATGAAGGCGTAGTAATTATGCATTTTATAAGCTTTGCTAGATATTATTTAAACACAAAAATCAATGATAAATAGAATAAACGTCTAGGTATAGAATAAGTCAGAACAATGTCTTTAGATTAATATACTAGCCTAGAATAATTAATGGTATTCAAATGTTAATCAGTTAAATTGTTTTATTTTATACATTCTACAAGTGTTTATAAAGTATCTTACTACTGTACTATGTGTCTATGTTTAGAAATTATAACTCGTAGGGGATATAAAACACTAAATCATTAAGCTACCACATAAATAACATTAGCTGATGATATAATTAACCTTATCATACAGAGTTCACTATAAATAACAACTGACGACGACGTGCGTCGCAATAAATTCTTCAAAAATTTGTTACGGGGTCTCTTATCTCTCGAAGCAAATTAAGTTAGCGCCTGTTATAACAATACTGGAAACCAGCTCGTTACAGCTGAGGTTTCTGGGTACTGCGAAGTCACCTGCTTCGCGATGGCTGATAACAGACCGTTCATTCATAACGATGACAACGTACGAGTACGTGACCACTCATAGTCTAATGCTCTTACGACTCGGACAGAAATCCTTGACCAAATGATTTAAATTGAAAAGATAAAGTTCATTCAGATGTGAGCGAGGGAACCGTTGTTGTTTATGTTATATAGACCGATCTCGAACAGCTATTGACTGAAAAGATTTTTCACTTTTCCCTATTCATTTTTATTGATACTTACCTAAACTTCTAAAATCTCGTTAAACAAGGAATGAAGAACTTATGAATGATATGAAATAAGTATTTATTTATTGTTTAGTCTAGCCAAGCGATCATGGATCGGACTAACCTATGATGCTTCCAAAGTAAAAGAAAGAACTCTAAAAAAAGAAAATAGTGGGGAGACCAAACGAGGTTTTTAAGGAATGAGGAATAAGGGGGGGAACCATGCCCCCCTTATTCCTCATTCCTTGTGAAGTACTCCCACCATACATGAGCTCTTTATATACGGTCGAATGTCTAGGGCAGCAAAAAAATCAACAATTGGCCATGACTCTTGGTGGCGTCCAAATCGTCAGTCTTTTGAATAGGACCTACTGGAGGGTTCAGGTATGGTGGGAGTACTTCACAAGGTGCAAGATTGTTCCCTTATGTTATTCTACCGCACTTAAGTACCAAATTCCTAAAATCCCCGCGTGGGCTCCCCTACAGGCAATTTTTTTGTTTTAGCCTCTACGATCATCAAACTAAACGAAAGTATCTTTTGTTTTATCAGGTAGAAATGACGGGCAGTAGTATATTCGACTACGTGCACCAAGCAGACCACGCGGAGATAGCCGAGCAACTCGGGTTGTCGCTAGCAGGCAGGTCGGGCGGAGCTGGTCTAAACAGTCCAGCTTCTGGCAGTGAGGAGGGAAGCCAGCACGGCACAAATAATCCTGACGGTATGTTGACGGCTTTAGCAGCGGCATATTTAGCCCATGTAGCGCCTGTATGCAATAATGATTCTAGCGCGGTCAAAATAGAATGGTGGTGAGTGGCACTTGGTGCCCACTGAGGCCGCTGCACCCGCGTGCAACGCACACCCTGCACTTGGCAAAGCCGCCTCTGGGCTTTAGGATACTCATTTGTAATCCTGATTCTGCCCATGCAGAGATTTCTAAACAGCTCAGCTTGTCGATGGCAGGCAGATCGGACGGTGCCGGTCTGAATAGTCCAGCTTCTGGCAGCGAGGAGGGAAGCCTGTTGGTTGTTGTTGATCATGGCACAAACAGTCCTGACGGTAAGCCTATGTAATTGCTTTCGGAAATTTATTTGAGAACACTGATTCTGACCACGCGGAGATTGCTGAGCAGCTCGGCTTGTCGCTGGCAGGCAGAACAGCGATCTGGCAGCGAGGATGGGAACCCAGCATGGCACGATCATGACGGTCAGACTTATGCGTTGACTCCTTAGGAAGTTTATTTGTGAACCAAATATATAAAAAACAAAATATGTGAAGTCGACGAAGGTAAATAATTAAAATCAGGAAATAAGCAGTTCCAGTACATGCGTAATGTGCAGTTTCTCATTCATTTGAAAAGCAACGTAGCACAAGTAATGAGATTGAACTACCTAAATAAAGGTATAACCATGCTAATCAGGCTTCAATTCATAATTTCTTTTTATTTAAAGTTGGTATCCGATTTCTAAATCAGCGTTAAAATACTACATTAGCGAAGACACGTGTATCAAGTTTTTATTGCCCTATTATTCAGTCCAAGACAGTGGTCGAAACAGTAAAAAATGCCTTTCCATTGAATACGCCGTTACTCATTTAGTCGTCGACAATTTTTGGAAGATTCCGTAGAGAAAAAGTAGAGGCACCCATTCTTCTAGCAAAACGAGAAAAAACAGCGAAGAAATCAATTAGTTTCCTTAGGCCGTTGCACCTTTCAATCGGCGACAGTACCGATCCCAAAATTTCACCCGGTATGTCGAATCTGTCAATGTCATCAGTAATAAGTTGTGGTACAACTTGAAATTAGATTATGGAGTCTTCACGGTGCGTTGGGAGCTTATGAAACGGTCAATGGGGTGTCAGTGTGAATCTTTGTGGTCACTGATTAATATTTCATTTCACCGCTATGGGAACTCGTTTGAAGGTTTATTGAAATTTGGCGCCAGCACCTAGATAGATAATAGATATTTTAACTTCTTACACAAAATTGAGCGGGCCGGTGGAATTATCACACAAAGTAGGTAGGAGCTTTTAAATCTACCAGACAATGAGACTGCCGAGTTCAATTAAAAGTCCGGTAAGCAAAAAAGTCATTCGAATACCATAATATTACTGTCAAATAGATGTTATTGCTCGCTCCACTGCATCCGTTTTTATTGTCTGCGGTTATAATTTAAGTTGCGCAGTAAAAACATGTTTTAAAACCGCAAAAGTCTTTTTTTTATTACGCTCACTGAAATGCACTTTTGTATTTCACCAATCACAATTACGGTACTTAACATTTTAAAGGATATAAATGAACACAGCTTTACAACATTGATTGGGTGAATCGTGATGTTCATGTTTACTTATTCTTTACATTGGTTTAGCAGCTTTGCAGGATCCTGACTTTATCCCTTGAAAATGGAGTTATTGTGTAGTGAAATTCAATAAAACAGATTTATTTACCAGCATTCCATAATTAAATTAAGCTTAATCTTGTTTAAAAATATAAAATATGTGTTAAAAAAATATATTTTTATTTATTGTAATCATATTGGTACACCTGTTAACAAAAATTATTTTTATATGGATTTTTTTTTGTAAAATTTTGTTTTATCATCATTGTAAAATTTTTGAAGAATGAAGTTTGGGTAATCATTATTTCATATAAGAACTTTGGTGCAGGTTGCCCCAAAAAAGTAAAGTAAGATTTCCAGTAAGCATTTTATTCGATCACATGACGATGATGACGACACAAGATTTTAAGTTCGAAATGAATTTGTCGAAATCATTAATGTACCTACATTCGACCTTGTTTTTTGGAACTAACGGCTAGTTTGGTTTTTAATTTACTTACATGAATACCTTAAGGGCTAGAATCGATTTCAATTTACTTGTCTCGAAAAAGTATCGATAAAAAATCAATCAGGATCGAGACAGTGTGACAAGACGGTATTGTAGTGTGACAGGCGTGGTGAATAAGTCACAGAACAGTGGTCCGTGGAGAAAACATCACATTGTTGTCTGATAACCGTAGATTTGTCGATGGAAATTGGTAGGAAGGTGTTGTGAGATTGATGGGTGCCACTGGTTCCGAAACTAAGGTGAACGTAAAGATTGATTTAGTTGACGTTTGAAATTCAATCAGAGTTTAAATAAGGTTTAACTATAGTATTGACGAGTAGGTACGTAAATAATGATAGGTACTTTCTCAGTGTAATTATTATGATTCTGCGGCCACTTAGGTATTAAATGATAGCTATTGCTTGTTTTTTGAGTGAGTATGTAGGTTAAAAAGAGTCTTTCTTTTCTTTCTTTCTTAAAGAAACTTCAACATTTAACTTTAGATACCACAAGTTTTAACAACTTGAACTTCAATTAACGTTTAGCAATTAGCTTAAAAAAGATGCGCTCCGATCGATTTCAAATCATATTCACAGGCGTATCCAGTTACTGTTTATTTATTGATGATGACACGAAAAATATTCCAAAAATACGTAAATATATCGATTTAAAATCCAATTATTCAGTTAAAGGCTCAACTAAAACAGACACAAAGTTTGAAAACCATAGACATTTATCTTAAAATCACGAGGCAAGCTATAGGAAATCAATTAGAGCGTGATGTTCAGCTGATTTTTCGTTACAAGACTCCTAAATCTTTTAATTAATCATTCAATCTACCAGTCCAATGCCCTTTTTAAAAATTGTGTGAAATTGATTTGGACTTTATCACACACGTAGCCATTATATGTTTTAATTACACGTCATTAATTGAAGTGTTTCTTAGCGATAATGTGTATCGTTAGCGTCACGAGGGTGTGAAGGTAGATTCCAGAGAGAATTTTAATGAGTTCTGTAACTGTAAAATCAGTAGGTAAGCTTATATAAAAAATGAAAATCAATAAGGTAGGCTAACATAAAAAATGAGATTTTTTTCTATTCATTCATTCTTTAATGATGCCAAAATTCGCATTGTTTCATAGAAGAGTGCGTAACTGTCTTGTTTAAGAAAAGCAAAAGTCCATGTTATGTTTCTAATTAGGTTAAATCTTTAGATTATATTGCCACATAGTCACAGTACTTAGACACAGTTATATGAAATTTAAAGTTCAAATTATTAACATTCCATGATTCATTGAAAGTAAATAGTTGTGCACTTCATTTAAGAAGTATTTTCCACAATTTCCATGATAATTTTCGGGTATTTAATTTTCACCTTTTTCCACAGTATCGGCGCAAATGAGCTTAGCAGCAAGTGGAACGCTGTACAGAGGGATGGACCGAGCCTTCTGCATCAGAATGAAAAGTACACTCACAAAACGTGGATGCCATTTCAAATCATCTGGATACCGGGTAAGAAGCAAATTAAACTAATTAAAACTTTTTAATAAAATCTAAACGGTTAGCAATCTTTATAATAAATTATAAAATAATATACATGGTTGAGTTATTTAGTTTATGGGCTTATACAAAGGATAGACTTCAGCAATCCAACCTTCTACATGTTTTTACTAATACATACTTACATACATGCTAAAGCTTAACTTTGCTGATTAAAAATTCACACAGAAACAAAAAAAAATACTTTTAGTGATAAATATGATATCACGAACTAAGTCGCTTAAAAGTAAATCCTCAGTGTATATCTTAAAGAAAAAGCTTGAATGTACAAAACTAATATACTACAGGCAAATGAATTAAAGCAATGCTGAAGCACATAAAAAAGCAATAACTCTTCTGTGAACATGAAAATATCTGTGGTCATTTTTCTTCTTATCTAGTACTTACTAAGAGAGAAACGAATGGACGCTGAATTTTCATTTTCAATCTAGGTTGGAAGAAGCAAGGAGGGTGAACAGTCGAGATACGGAGAGAGTGGTAACTGGCGGGTGGGTATCTGGAACGTTGAGCTGTAGGATGTTATTATAAAATATGCCCTTTATCAGTTTCTTTTCTATGATAGATACGAATTTTCTTTTGTTATATTGAGTCCAGTCCGTATTAAGACTTCAACAGTTATTGATATATCTCTATCGTTCATTTAACACAATGATGCAAGCATTTTTTTTTTAATTAAATATTTAACAAAATAATAAGAATATTTTTTTATTGACAGAAATACTGTAATTGCCACATTTTAATCGCAATAAATAATTGTTAATTCTTTTCTTCAGTTGACTAATATTAACAACCAACTAGAATTATATTACTTGAGCATGGGGTGCCGCAGGGAACCGTGATAGCCCATAATTTTTGCTTTAACTCGGTGTTAGATCATAAAGTAAGATTGTATCTCCATCGACTTGCGAATTTCAGACGAGGTGCGTAAAATTAGTCGTAATGGTTTTTTCTTTGGGTGTAAATTTTAAGGGTTTTTGTTTTCTAAATGTTTGCGACCAGTTCCTTTTTATTTATGTACTTCGACTGTAATTACAGTAAAAAAAATGGTTGCCTGTAAAGTCGGTTTTACGGGCGAAGATTTTACGTGACAACGTCTTTTTCTCGGTAGAATATTTATTGATATGAATATAATTAAATTGCACAATAGGAACAAGGAATTGAATGAAAATAAGAATTGCACAAATTTTAACTATAGAAATATATTTTGTTTACTAAAACATTGTACATGTAAACTTAAACTTAACACGAGAGACTCATCGTAACGTTACCGAGCGTTACACTTTTTCATAAGTGACTCCCAGCCGCAACCTAATTTAAGACGTTGTCACGTCAAAAAAATGCAATTTTGCATCCTGAATCTTTTTTAAGATTTGTTAATCTGTTTGGAAAAGATGTGAGTTTCCTTTTAATGTTTACATTAACATTCCGATTTCAATGTGGATCATCAATTGAGATTCTAATTTCTAGTAACCAACATATTATTTAATAAAGTTACACCCATAATTCGTTATTACCTCTATCTAAATAGCTTACACAATTCGCACGAGCATCGACTCTGCAATTAATATTCTTTATTACTTCACGCGGCACGGCAACGCCTTTGGCTAAGCTTTTATTGGGAAAATTTCAAATTAGTTGTCTTCCATTTGATCTCGCATTTGATTAGGTAGGTACCTTAGAATATGTATTACGTAAGTACGTGCTTTCCGAAATTCCACAAATAAACTGCTTTGAAAGTTCATCTCTGTTACATGAAACACGTTTCACACAATGAAGAAGAGCTCGGAAAGTTATAACGAGATTTTTTATTATCATTCGCACTCCAAAGCAGGCTTTGTCGAGCATTGCTTATAATATTTTATATGATTCTTTATTAAAATTTATATTAAATGTAATGTATAGTTTCTTATACCAATTAGGTTTTCTATTGGTACACAATATATTTAGAACATAATTTATATTATATAATAACCTTAAGTTCAAGAATTTATAGCTGAAAGCAGGTAGTTAGTAATAATTTTCCTATAATTCAAACAAGCTAATTTCATGTCAAATTAGAACTGAAAAAATCACATAGAATTCTAGCCAGTTTTTCTTTACACAAATAGAAAATTTTTGACGAATGCCTGTATCAAGTATTTATTTTTATTTCAAACAAACTTACCACTAGTTAGCCGTTGTGGATGATGGGCTGGCAACCTATCACTAGTATTTTCTGACAACATTATAGTTCTAAACAATGCCAAATGTAGCAAAAATGAGACTGAGATAAAAGATCATTTATACATGTGTGTATCGTATGTAATGTCAGCGTACCTTTTTTGTTTTGTTAATCCCGCAGATGCCATACACAATGCTACTTTCAGCTTAGGATAGATAGGAGCATATAAGATTAACTTAAGTATAAAGATTTCTTGTCTGAACGCTTCTCTCTTTTTTCCAGGTGGTGCTGATGCTGTGTCGTCTGCGGCCTCAGTACTCCTTCTCGCATAGCCGGAAATCTCCAACAGTCCTCTTGGGAATGGTGGCATTGGCGATAGCATTACCACCTCCCTCCGTGCATGAAATAAGACTGGAATCCGATATGTTCGTCACAAGAATCAACTTCGACTTCCGAATAGCACACTGCGAACCCAGGTATTTGGAGTTTATAATGTTTGATGTGTTTCACATCACTAGTTCCGCTTATTTATAAACTTTGGCCATAGGAATAAAAACTAAATTTATAAGATTTTATACTAGCTCAAAATATTCCCCTACAACAATTAATGTAAATATTTTCATTTGAAAATGTTTTAACCGATGAAATTTGCCATAATTATGTTTTTTTTTTCAGCAGGGTGTCAGAACTACTAGGATATACAGCGGAGGAATTAACGGGAAAGAACCTATACGCGTTATGTCATGGAGAGGATGCAAACAAACTAAGAAAATGTCACGTAGATTGTAAGTAATCGTAATTTATGTATATTGATCCTGATAAAAAAAAATGCTAGTAGGTAGATAACAAATTAAAGCAAGAACGTAAAGAAAACAAAAAACGACACATTTTAAAATCGTGTGGTTTCCATTGTTTTAAATAATCAAGAGATCTCTTGTCAGATGATTCAGTAGTCTTTAGTCATGTTTCGATTCTATATTCACATCATGAATCTTGTACCTTACTTCATCGATCTATAAATGAGTCGGTGAATCGTCCACCCATGACCCAATATTGTAGTGAAATCCTTCGGGGCCCAATGTTGCAACTGACCATTTGTATGCAGTCGGCACTCTTTAGAAATCCATGTCAAGACGCCTGGCAGCTCAAGGTATCGAATTGAGGTGTTAGCAGGAAAATTTATGAACACTGTTTTTCCGGAAATTTTCACTTGAACCTAAAATTTCGGTCAACATTGCTCAATATAAACATGTGCAGTTCACACGCTCACACCACATCACATCACATATTCCAAGCACTTGAAATACCGTTGTTAAAGAATTCTAATGATCCATTATTGTTGATACGAAGCCTACTTAGATCTGGAACAATGCCCAGCCAAAGATAACATGAATACCTAATTTATTTATTTACCAAGAGCAATCAAGGACCAATGCAAAGCACTTTGACATTTATTTAGGTATAGCTTCAAAGGATTTGAAATTTTAGAAAGTTTCTATCATTTCACCTACACTTTATCATCATTCTATCTACACTTTAATTGTCATTTCAAAACTGGATTGTGTTTATTAAGGAAAGGCCGTACAAAAATCCAATTAAAGGCATTAGGAAAAAAAAACAATAATTTTGCAACATTCCAACCAGTTTCGATTTATATTTCAATCACACTGTAGCTTAGGCATTCGGCTACCAAGAGGAAAATCCCTGTTCAAATAATGTAATCATAGTGTCGTACACTACACACGGATATTATTACTTTTCCACGCATTCGTCAGAGGAATACAATTTAGGCCTAACGCCGAGCGCCGGCATCGCGCGAGTTGTGATTTGAATAATAATTTTTATACCATCATTTCTGTTTCCTTTCCCTGGGCATACGTGGGAAATGTCAAGCTTTAATGTCCTCTGAGATAGCTTTTGTTGAATGTGTTCTGTTTTAAAAAGTTATCTGCTGGCTTGTTAACTTATATGATTTATTATGACAACAGTAAATTTAAACGAGCAAAATGTAACAAGCACTTTGCTTGAATATGGCCAAAAACAGAAGCATGGGAATCTAAACAAATAAGAGTTCAAAACAAATGAACGCGTTGACTGTAAATTGGCTATCATGGTAACAACAGACCATGAATGAATATATCCTGACGTAATGATCTCCTAACCAATCAATCCTAACGTGCAACAAAATGGCGCCGATTCGAACGCCAATCACGGTGAGCTTAACGTCATACGGTTTTTCTCCAGTACATGTTTTCTGTTGATAGCTTTACGAGACCATTACTTTGCATTGTAAATGTCTATATAGATGCCGGTCAAATGTGGACAATCCGGGTGTAGAATATCAATTGTTCGAATTACCATAAAAGTCCGGGTGTTTGGTAGAAAGCGGGTAATTTGGTTACAGAGGTTTACGCGCCCTGGGTGCTTGATGAAGTTATTGACAATGTTGGGCGTATGTATTCAAATCGTGCATAATGTAATGATATTGAATGATTATGTCTGAGACTTCCGACAATGAGGATTTTTTGTTGGGCCCGGTGATTCACGTTGACGTGATGCTTAAAGCATGAGAAATAACAAAGACATTAAACTATGTATCATCTTATATACATCGTAAAACTAAATATACGAGGTATATTACATTATTTAGTTGTGGACAGCGGATTTTGAAGTGCTTGTTTGAAAACTTTATAAAAGACTAGCCCGATAACACTTGCCTCTAGTGTTATATTCCTCTAACGACTCAAGTAAGGGCGGTAAAGTTCAAAAGGGTATCTAAAGATAAAGAGTCAAGCTGAAAGTAGCTGAAACGGCATATACCTTTCCCGCAACCTCGCACTCCGCTTATATGCATAATATTAGGTTATATGGAGTCATCTCATCTAAAAAAACAAAAGGTCATAAAACTAAAGTAAATTCTTAAATCAAAAGTCCTGTGGTCTTTGCTTACTTTAAATTTGGCTTATATGTAACATATGTGATATGTTGTTATCTGCTAGGTCATAAAACAATTAAGCTAAAGTAAATTCTTAACATAAAAGTCCTGTGGACTTCTCTCACTTTAAGTCTTTTTTATAATTTTCGGTGGGCAAACAATCACTCAACCCGCTTAATAGTAAAATAAAAGGCCACTATGGTCTACAACACCAGGAATGTGATGATTCGACAGACGTTGGCAACCCTTTAAATTTCTTTCACACCATCCCTTTGCTCATCTCTTCAAAACTATAAAGAAAAATGTCGTTAAGTAATATCTAATATCTCTTCAATTGAAAGATATCGAGGAATCGAGTTAATGAGACATTTAGATACAAGGACAGTACGAAAATATTAATAAAAAAGAACCATCATTAAACTAAACGTTTAAACCAGTTTCACTTTTGGCTTTGATCCAAGTGCACCTACAAATATGATTAATGAACAACAACAATAAACAAAGCGAAAACAAACCAAAAACTGAGTTTACCCTAATGACTCACGTAGCACAATACATGTGTTCACTTTGTCTTTCGTGTGTGGAATCTATTGAATATAATGATGGATTCGGTACGTACCACCAGCTACTACATTGGCATCATAACCCATTGTCCGATTAACATTAATCACAAGGTCATATTTATCCGTTTGGAATCGCTTTTGCGATCAGTTTCCATAAAAGTCATCTGTTACTTCAGTTTGATGACTAATAATATGTAGGTTTGTTTTGTTTAGCACTCACTATTGTACCTAATGTTGATGATGTTACAAAGAACTGACCCTGTATCTGACTGCTCTAGTAAATTCACAATATCATTAAAATCCGTGCTTTATTACTTACCCCCACATCGGAAAATCCTTCTAAACGTGATATGCGTAGTAAATTGTTAATTATTATAGAAAAACCACCAGGATCTTTAGTCAGTTTCAGTGATCAGTGATTGGAAAGGGAAAAACAAATTCTTACATTCATTTATACTTTGAACTTTCTTTGTTACAGTAATGAATAAAGGCCAAGTGCTGACGCACTACTACAGGATAATGAATAAACTGGGCGGATACACATGGATGCAGACTTGTGCGACTGTCGTGTGTTCCTCAAAAAATGCTGAAGAGCAAAATATCATCTGTGTCAACTACGTCATCAGGCAAGTAACCGACATCATACATCACTATCTATATAAAGAATTGTATCGTTTGCATGCGTTACAGCACACCGTTACACAATGTACATATTTAGCTGATTTATTCTTCTCATCAAACATAAATTAACATCGGCGCCCTTTGTGTTACCATAATATCAGAATATGAGATACATTCCTGACCATTACAATTACCGTTTGTTTCTCTTCTCAGTGGTCGGGAGTATCCGAACACGGTGATGGATTGCTGTCAGCTCGAAGAGAGTGTGCAAGGTGTTAAGCGAGAAGAGAGCACAGGCGATCCAGAGAATGGTCCTCCCGATACCGACAATTCGGGAGGACCGCCTCCGACACAAAGACATCCACAAGAAAGAACAGAACCCCCTACAAATCAAGAAGCTGCGTCTACAGCGCCCGTGCCTACATCTGACGTCACTCATCTGACCAGACTAAACGACGCCCAGCCATTACCCCTTCCCACTAATCCAGAGCGGACTTCCCCAATGCCTGCGAGAAGACTGAAGAAACGAAAACATACGACCGACGAAGACGACGAGAGAGACGAAGAAAGGCGGAAGTCCTCGTCGAACCCTGGCGCGGCAATATCGCCCGTCGAACGAGAAATGACCAAAACCAACCTGTCCATACCCGAGGGCACGACTGATGCGACTTCAGTGAGAGATTTGGAAAATGCGATGTCGAAACATTTGCCTTCCGTTTCTCTGGACGGCAAAGAAATCTCACATAGACCGACTGATTTCTCCACGGATGCTTTGCTAAAACAGCAGCAGCAAAAGTCAACAATACAGTGGATAGGCACTCAAAACCATCACCTGAACCACTTGAACAGACAAATCCCTGGAAACCATACGACTACTCCCGCATCGGCGTTATTGAGACAACTTTATGCTAACAGAGAGAGTGTCATTCGTAGCAACTTCTTAGGAGATGGAAGAACGGGTGGATATTACTCGAGCGATGGCCAAAATGGGCCGTTGCCCACTCCCCCAGGAAGCGAAGGCTCCAGTTACGGTGAACAATTAGGTCATAAAGGCAATGACATAAGTTCATTAGCTTACGGCGGCTACGCTGACTATCATTCCGCTATGACGCCTCCAGGGTCTGTTTCGCCTAGGGATAAGCAGCAGTACGCTCTGTCGTACGACAATAGCGCGTATTCCGAAGCGTTAAGGCACTCGTATTTGGGTGAAGCGCCGTTGCCTTTGAAGCCGCAGGCGTATTCGGCCGTTCCCGGCGCTTTAGACTATGCGTCGCCTTTAGACCAATCCCAGTTCTTCCATCCGCCGTCTTCGTTCCATCTCTACCATCCGCAAGCTCACGCTGCGCACGCGACGCATTCTCACCAATCTGTAGATAAGTCAGCACCGCCGAATACAAATTGGTACTCGGCCGGGTCATAGCCATATATGAGATGATTTTGAGGTTTAAACGTTTTAGCATATTAGGGCCTAAACTTATATGTGAGGCCCCGGATGTGTTTCCGACTTGATTCTCATTGAATTATATTTTTTATTTGTTGTTAAGTTTAGCATTTTTGTTATCGTTGAACAGTTTCTTTTACGTGGTTTTTGACCAAGGGTTTGTTCCCTTATGATAGTGAATTGTAAATAACATTTAATTCAAAACAGAACGTTTCGAAATTCGTATACGGACAAAAAGACTTCTTAACTACTATTAAAATACTCAAAGATGACAAGTTTTCGAAATATGACTGCTTTGTGAAGTCTGTGTAAAATATACTGTATTATTTAAATATACATAATAATGTGCCAAATTTGGTGCTTACGGCTATATTTTATTGCATTTAGCTTACATTCCCATTTTAATGTTATATTACAATGTTTTTTATATTTTACGTAGACACTGAACTTTCCCAAACAATATTGTAGCAGAATAAAATAGTCACATTAAAACGGAATAGCTCTATCCGAAAATAAATCTTTTATGAAAGATTTTATCAGAAGAGGGCGCTTAGACGCTTAAATTAATATACATAAGGTACACACGCATAATTACTTTCCAAAAAATATACCATACTTAGACTTTGATTAGATTCAAAAGACTAATTCTGAGTGACAAAAGGTAACTAAAATAAAACCTTTTGATTTCTGTTATTCGATGTAATAGGTGCCACGGGGTTGTATATACGAACTATAATAAGTCTAAAAATTGTGGCAATTACAACTTTATGCGATAATTGTCTGAATTCAATCGCGTCAATTGAAGAAAATTTTAAAGATTGTCGGGATAAGGTGCATACAATAATCGACTTAAAAATAAATATCTAACTTCTATGATCATAAAAAGATAGAAACAATAAGACATAGGTATTATAATGGTGTCGATTCTTGCATGATTATCTAAACTTAAAACTAAATTTAAAATCAGTCTCTCCTTTTCATTCTGTATAGAGAATGACAAGGATTCACTCTTGTCATATTTAAGTTTAGGTTTAGAGAATCATGCTAGAATCAACACCAATGTTATACACCAACACCAGTTACATCTCCATCTAGCGTCAAATACCAACAACTTTCATACCACTCAATAATTATTTTTTACGTGAGTAAAAGGCGAAAGTATTTAATTTTGTAGATTATTCTACTTATTTAGTAAGGCGGCAGATTATTTATTTAGGTCTTTTGAAACTGACAATCCCAGTGGACTACGTAAAGCTTGTTTGCATATCATAGTAATGTTAGGCTTTTTGTAAATTATTGTACAATATTTTAGAACCACGACTGTATTTAGGCGGTAGTTGTATTTTTCAATTTGTACATTTTAAACGTAAGTATTGTATATTATTTTTATCGTTCGAAATAAGATTTCATTGTACATATTGTCATTTAGATATATATGCATCTCTTTATTTATAAATATGTCATCGCTCAAAGACTTTTTTTTTGTTTTGTTTCTTAAGGATTAAAAAAATGAGAATGCTCTATTAGAATTACTGGTTAAAGTAAAACGATAGTCATACAATTAAACTGTACAGTGAATTGTGTAGCATTTAATTATATTATTTTACGGACTTTGGCGACAAAGATGATTTTGGAAAAGTAATGGATTTGGTCACAGATTTGGTCATAGGTACCCCTAGCATGAACCAATATCGAATTCGTATCGTTTGCGAGTACGAAATGTAACTGTCAAATGTGTACTGATTTTTAGTTCTCGTTACGTCCTTTGTGGCGCTGCTGTTCAAGTTTTCATACAAAATTTGACAGTGACATTTCGAACTCGCAAATTATTCCAATTCGCTAATGGTTCGTGCTAAGGGTACAGTTCTGTTATCCGAGGATTTGGTTATGTTTGTCATTTTGAGTAGTAAATATACTTACCCCTTGATCCTGCTATGATTATCTCTGCTATCTTAACATTCTTAAGTGTAAGTGACATTAAATTATTTTAATTAACAATAGCCCCATTCGCTACTTAGTTTTCACTTAAGTAGTCCTTACGGTCAATTCATACTAGCGCAGAGTCGAAGCGCATCGAAATTTTAGAAACGTAAACAAAGGAAATTCACCATTATCTCCGCAACGTAATGTACATATATAATTCCTTCTTAGATAAAAAGAAGTGGCATTTGACCGAATCCGCGCGTCTGCGCGTGAATTCCGCTGATTATCGTACGTCAGCAATTACGTTACGAAGGGTGAATTTGGTGTTACTGTTTCTGTCCTTCGATGGGCTTAGACACTGCACTATTATGAATTAACCATTGAACTCGTGGGACTGAATGACCTAAGATTTAAATACATAATTTAATGTCACCAACTAAAAAAAATCAATACGCCATCGAAACAATATTGTAGATTTGTAGGTACGACAAAATCTAGCCAAATTAAAAGCACAAATATGTCTCTATTTATTTGAATCATGACATTTTATAGAAAATAATACTCAATTCAAACTGATATCTCGTATTAGTTGAAACCAAATGCGAATTAATGTATAACTAGGTATTATTTTTATACGTGATGTGTATTTTTTGTAATCTATCTACTTGTATGAAACTTGTCAAAAAAATTTGGTTACATCTATATGCTATGTATGTGCAATATGAGTGGAAAAAATAATGTTGTTCATTTCAATTTTTATAAGCTTCGTTAATCGTAAAATTAAGATAAAACTATCATTAAAATTGTAATTAAAAATATCATAATAAAGAAATCGGATTAAGCTATTAATGCGAAATTTTAATTGTTACTTTTCAAATATTTCCTTCGAAACTTCCATTCCATGTAATATAATTTTAGTTGTTATGTACTTGATGAACGAAAATCAAAGATTTTTTTAATTCTCCGAATAAATAATTAAGCATTTTAGCTCTTTCTTTCAATTTTAATATAAAATGCATGTCTTTTGAGTAGGTAATTTATTATTTTATCTACGAAATCATAAAATTCATAAATAATAATTTTAATTGTTTTCACACAAATTTAACTTTAAATACATCAATAGTTTGCCAATTCAATTGCACACGATTTTACGGGGTATTCCTAATCGAAAACCTGAGCTGTCTACCTGGGTTCTCTGAATGAAAATGGATAAATATGTTTGCTTCTATTCAGTAAACTGTACCAACGAATAAAGAGTTCTTAACTATCCGACAAATAAATGGCAAGCATCCTTTGTAGTTATATAGCCCCGGTACTTACTGATGTAAATACCAAAAAATCACTGCAATTCTTTAAATGAATTCTTTAAATGACTTAAAAAAATTCCAGTACATCTAAAGGCCTAAAATATTAGGTTCCTGTGGAATTCCCAAGAATTCATTTGTCACACCACTCATTAAATAAAACAAGTTTCAAGGGGTTACATGCACTAATTTTATTTATTAATTGACGTTTCGAATCCTTTGCAGGAATGCGTCGTCGGAATGAAACGGAAAACAGTTTCTAACCCGTTGAAACTTGTATTATTTAATGACCGATGTGCGTGAAAACCTTAGAAAGAAATAACTTATTAATCTATTAGTATTGAAGAATTAGTACCTTTGGTTCCTAACTGACCGACCAGATTGACAAGGTGAATGTTAGGATTTTTTCTTCCAGATGGACAGCTCAGGTGATCGGTTCAGAACGCGGGATATTTACAATATTTCAAATTAGAACATACATGAACAACACTAAATATACAGGCGTAGCGTAGATAGTATCTACAAGAATGAACACAATGTCATGTAAAACGCCAAAAATCGAATTTCTTCCACAGATGCCCCCACAAATTTATTTACTGTAGACATAGCTGTAATAGAAAACCACTAAGAAACATCCTGTTCATGAGACACAACGGTGACAGACGAAATGTCGATTGAGAGACGTGCTTTCTTACGTTCAACGGTTTTATTTATTTATTTATTGACGTTTCGCACTCTTTGCAGGAATGCGTCGTCAGAATTCTGACGAATCTGGTCTTGTTTTATTTAATGAGTGATTTTTGTGAAAACCTAAGAAACAAATAAGCATATAGCCCGTCTGATGGTAAGCAGACACTATAGCCTATAGATGCTTGCGATACGAAAAATATCACTCGCGCCCAGTGTCGTCTTTGACCTATTGGAGGCCCTGGGCATATTAGGATAATGGGGCCCCTATGACCCAGTTTTGGTGATTTAACAGTAACTAGGGACTTTGTATTTGATCTCAAGGGGGCCCCTATCGATCGTGGGGCCCTAGGCACTTGCCCAAAGTGCCTACTGGGAAAGACGGGTCTGCTCGCGCCGTTGCCTTCCTTGACCCATCCCCTACCCCGTGGAGCCCAGTCTGCTCAGAACAAAGCGTCTTTCAGCGTCAAAGGTGTTAACATTATAAATCAGAACATATTATTTATTTTATTCTTTTTTTCCAAAATACAGTAAATAGCGGACTTAAAGCCATAGGCATTCTCTACCAGTCAACCAGTATTTCACCCGATTGGAGTTTATGTTAAGAGTTGTTTATATTTTAGACATTAGAAAGATGACCTTCGGTCGATACCCGCTTATATTTTTTACACTTGTCTACTTGCAGCAAATGTTAAATCTCGATTCAACTAAAACTAGATGTAACCGAAAAAAAACCATAGAAAAATGTTAAAATGACAATTTATCCTTATTGTGTGGATTAAATTTAGTTTTGGCGAATTCGAGATTTAGCATATTTGCTGCAAGTGGCCCAATGAACTGGTATATTGTTTATGTTAGCATCCTAAAGCCGTCTTACAGTAGCTAGCTTTGTAAACTAGCTTTAACCAATAGAAAACTGTCAAAACATCAATTTCAATTTGACATTATTGTATGGGCTAAATCTAGTCTAATTAAGCTTATTAATTGAGATTTAGCAAAACTGCTGCAAGTGACACTCTTTCTCTAATACATATTACAACTTTATTATATTTCTATATCTATTACAGACATCATCTATACATAACTTTATGTTCTATAGCTTACAGGCACATTTGGCATTTAGTTTCTAAGTTTTTTCTGGAAACAAGAGAAATTGTCACAATTTACCAGCATACTACGTACATAATTTTAGAAACTGCTGTCTGTCTGATTATGGTTTTACTAGATATGCACTGTAATAACACTGCCAGAAAAACATCGTATCTCTTAAGTTTACGGCAAAGCAAAAAATAGAAAAAAGATGCTAGATCGTTTAAAAATCCCAATACCAGGAAATCTTGTAAACTTAAAACAACACGAAGATGCCCACTTTTAAGATATATATTCCTACAATACTGTTACCATAGAAAGATATCGTATTTAAACATGAATTTCAGAAGTTATGATTCAAAATTGCTAGTAGTAATAGTAATTCTAGTGACGTTGAAAATTCAACTATAATTAACCAGTCTTTTGGTTTGCCCATATTACTGAAGATTTTTATTTTCTTTAATATGAAATCAAACATAAATACATTTAATACACATTAGATACAATTCATTTTTAATTTCTAATTAATTTAGGGAGATTCATTAATTGCAATTCAAAATAAAGCTTTTAAATGGACGGATATCTCACTTCTAATAGACATTAGAAAATTTTTCGCTTAAAGCTAAATGTATAAAAAAGTCAATTTAAACTTAGTTTTTATATATATACTTAAATATTATTTTTGGGGAAATATTTAAATGATCCTCAAAAAAATAACAAATGATCACCTAAAATATAATTGATAACTTAAAGGTTAGGTTACGGTTGTCAATTGTATTTTTTGGAGATTGATTACATTTTTTTGGAAAATCATTTAAATATTTTCCTTATTTTTGTACGATCACACACTTGATAGATGGGCAGATTCAAAGGTATAATTCTTACTTTTGTGGCAATGAAACTTAGAAAACATAAAAATATGGTATTATGTACACCGCAAATTCATATAGATACGCACACAGAACACAACAATGTTTTGTTGGTACGCATTATAAAACCCATATATAAGATGATAAAATCAGTTATCAGCTTAGATTAAAACAAAATGGGAAGATACAGTACGCTCATACTAGCATCAAATAAAATATGATCCGACTCAACTACATAAGCAACTCTCACTCACGCACACGTCTGTAAATAACATTTAATCGAGCCAGCGAAACGGCGATTCAGCTTGCGAATGCGAACGGTTGAGCTGTATTGTTGACTTATTCTTGATCACAAATGGCGATTACGTAAATAACATTCACGACAAACAGTGAATTTTGAGAAAAAAATGATTTTACACTTATACAAATGAGAAGTGTTGCCGAGGCATTTGTTATTTGATTTGAACTGTTTGCGTTATTTATAAAAGCATCGAAGGCATTGTTTAATTTTTATAACACAGAACATACGCAATATTGTTATATTAAATGTACGTGCAGCGTGTTTGAATGTCCAATTGTGACTACAGCGAATTCTGATCGTGCACTACAATTTAAGCGGATCACTATTGAGCCGCGAGTGCCGTATCTTCCCTTTTTGTTTTAATCTATGGTTATCAGTCTAATATCATTCAATCCAATTTATAAAAACATAAAAATAGCTATAAAATAAATGCAATACTTATCTAATATTTGATCCAGTTTTACAAAAACATAATTGATTTAATGTCACACTATAAGTTCTGGAGTCAAAAAGTCTGAAAAACTCAGATTATATTTGAAGGCAATTTAAATAATAATTTCATTGACTAAAAAACTATACATACTAAGTCTATGATTTGCTTAAAAGGTAATATTTGTAAAGGAAATATTTTATCAATAATTTAAGTCATTACAAACCAAATATATGTAAAACACAATTAACTTTAATTTTTACTTAATATTCAACTAGTATTTCAATGTTTGGTGACTGCATTTCCAAAATGATCTGATACTGTGATAAAACACAGAGCCAGCAGTAGATCTGAAATGAAGTGAGTTTGAAATTATTTAAACAAGCAATGCAATACAAAGTGTTCAAATATTAATTTCAAGTCTAATAACCCACATCAATTATATACATACACGTAGGCAATAAGCCCGTCACAGACGTAGCTATAATATATATTAATATATCGAAATATATATTATATTATAGCTAACTACCACAGACGGGAGCTATACTATAATATATATTTTGCCCTCACTCGGTCTGCGGTCGTTTTTGCAAGAGCACGGTTTTAAAGCTTATTTTCTAGCACAGGGTGTTTTAATTTTGAAATAACGTTATAATCGATCTTACCGAAATGAATTGGACAAGAGCACTACTTTTAGATTTAATTGAAAGTTCCTCAGAGGATGATTCCGATGCTGAATTTGATATGCATGTTGCCTTGTCAGGAACGAAAAATAGAAGTTGAACATTCCGTATTATACTAATATGCCAAAATATATCCCGTCACAGACGTAGCTATATATATTTATATATCGACATATTATATTATACAAACTACCACAGACGGGAGCTGTACTATCTATACTTCTATACTAATATTAAAAAGCTGCAGAGTTTGTTTGTTTGTTTGAACGCGCTAAACTCTGGAACTACTGGTCAGATTTGAATGATTCTTTCAGTGGTGGGTATTCCATTTATCGAGGAAGGCTAAAGGCTATATTTTTTTCTTTCAAAATTAGGGATCCGTAATAAAATAGCTATTTTGTAACACAAGGTGTAAAATCGAAAACCTATTTTTGCGTGCGCTGCAAAAACTATTGACAATAGAACAAAATGATGTACTACGGGTTTGTAGATCCCATTAAGACCTACAAAAAAGTCTAGAACATATATCTAGCTATCATGGTTTAATCACAATAACCGATTTTGTGTTCAAAATAATTATTACATCGTCTGAAGAAAAAAAACTACGTTAAATATGTATCGTAATATTAATATTTATCGAAATTAAGCATTATGTTATCAAGGGTATTTATGTAGAAGTAAAATACTTTTTGTTTCATCTCAATCGGATATTTCGTTTAAAAGTTATCACGTGTGTAAGATGTTAAGAGTTGGTACCTATTAATGAGTTATGGGCCATAGAGTTTTTTATTAACATAAAATCTTGTAATAATCTTTTTCGAAATATATTTGTTGATGATTGTAAGTATAAGATCTTTGAAGAGTATAATAAATACATTTCTAAAATAACTCTGCTAAGGAAATCCACGCGCGCTTGCTTGCATATTTTATCTCAGTATTTCCACGGAAACGAGAAAAACGCGGGTGAAACCGCGGGGCACGGCTATAATATATATTTTGGCAGGCGTTCGGTGAAAAATGAAACATACCGTATCATAAAAATATATCAAAATATATATTAATATATCAAAATATATATTAATATACCAAAATATACACTAATATGCCAAAATATATCTGTCGACATATTTTGGTGACGTCATAGAAATATATATTATAGCTGCGTGTGCGGTCACTCGAAAATTTATATTGAAAATATGTTGTAATATGTCTTGCTATGATTCATATTAATATATATTATAGCTACGTCTGTGACGGGCTATACTCTATATTAGAGTAAATCTAAAGTGTCACACAGACAGAAGTGGCCAGGGTGACGGCTAGATGTATTGGCTTGCAAAGTAAGTGTGGTCAAACACGAGCGACCAATGAGGACAGGCCGCGGCCGAAGTCCGCTTTACGCCTAAACCATTGTGTTAATATTGACCAATTTTGCTATGGCAAATGTCATCTGACCTATTTTTGTTTTGTTGTAGTCATTATTCCAACCAAACCAATCAACTAAAAAGTCGAAAATATTAACATCGAATGAAGTGGAAAGGTTTTTGAACGAAGCTCCCGATAATCGTTATTTAGCCACAAAGGTAATTTATTAATAAATACTTATAGTTTTCTTTAGTATTCAGTTTACGAAATCGCAAAATACAGTCAATATATTATTTAAAAAAATATTAATCAAATCCCTTTATTTGTAGGTTGCGCTGATTTTTGGCGTTGTTGGAGCTTTTCGCAGAGAGGAGTTAGTACAATATACAATATTACTTTAAAAGATATTATAGCCCATGAAAAAATGCTACTAATCAAGATACAACAAAAATAAGATACGGAAAGTTTGTTGTTGAAGATTTTCTTAGAATAGCGCAAAAATATTATATGAATCAGTGGTCCCAGAAGGAAAAACCAACCATTTTTGGCAAAATTATCAAAAAGGGAAGTGCAGCTTAAGCAATGGTGATAAACAAATTTGGTAATATGCCAAAAGAAATAGCTATGTTTCTTGGTCTGCCGGATGCTGACTATTATACTGGGCACAGCTTCAAGAGGACCTCTGCCACATTATTGGCAGATTCAGGAGTCAATTTGACGTCCTTAAAGCGACTAGGAGGTTGGAAGTCAGACAAAGTAGCAGAAGGCTATATTGCTGATTCATTAAACAACAAACTAGAAACTGGGAAAAAATCACACAATCCATTAATTTAAAGTCCAGTCTGACTCCTTCACCTGACAATACTGAAGAGAATGTTCGTCTATCTACCTTTGTTGATAATGATAAATTCATCAGATCCAATACATCAGTCTCAAACAGTAAATATGCAACCTAAAACTTCCCCAGTTAGTATAAAAAACTGTACCAATTTCAATGTATATGTGAATTATAACTTTAATAAGAAATAAATGATTAGTTAGTTGAGTTTATTATTTTATTAAACTGCTTTATGTTTCACAACTGTATTAAAAATAGTTGTTCAGTACATGTGCAGAACCGCCATTGCAACTTGTTCCGACTGTCAACTCTCACCTTCGGCTGCGCCTCGGCTCAGGCTCATATGTCCGAACTCTTTGCAATGACAAGCTTTCCGCACTCATAATGAAATATACTATTTTACTTACATTGTAAGCCATCCAGAGAAAATTAATGAAGGCAGCAAATGTGGCATCAAGCTGTAAAACAAAAGAACAAATTTATAAATACATAAAATTAAATATATTCACAGAATTAAATTACATTCTGAATTTACTTACATAAATATAATAACCGCCCATCAGCCACAAACCAAATATAAATTGGAATATAATAATTGTGCCAAAGGTGATCATCCAAGGTAACATCAGTCCTCTCATCCAGATATTTATTCCAACAACCTGAAAAGAGAAAATAGATTATACAATTTAAAAGAACTTAATAATTTTATATTCATTAAAGGAAATAATACTTATCAGTATTTTTTGCATTGTTTGCAACTTTATAAACAATATTATTAATCCTTTGAATAACAAATTTACAATAGAAATATACTCATAGCACTTCTTTCTTCTTTTATAACATGTTCAACAGTGAAGTTTAATTCTTCTCCAGAAAAAAGCATTATGGTCACCTCACTTTTATTTAGAACTCATACTTTATTGAAAACAAACTTAACTTTTATTAAGATAAGTAGATAGTATAAAGTAGGTATTCTATGTTTATATTGGTATTGTATGTCATATATTTTTATAGCAATGTAATGAGTTTTATAATTGTTGTGGTAATAATTTTTACTCACCATTAAAATAGAGAAAGCAAATAGCAGGAGAAGAATAATGATGAAGATTATGCCGAAAATTTGTAATGCTGTAATAGAAAAGAAAGAAATGTATTTATCAATCACAAGCCATCTTGTCAAGTGTGAGTTCAACCCACTCGTGAACAGTTCCATACTATAGCACATGATTTAACACTGGAATTATAAAGTGGTTGTTAACTCTTTTATTACAAAATGTCAAATAAAGTTAAACCCTGTTTCATAATTGTACTGCCAGTTTTGTTTGCATAGTTTATTTTAGCAGATAGCATAGTTTATTTTAAAAAGCATTTATTTTTATTTTTATAGCAGCATAAACTATTACAACAGTCTACAAGGATAGATTTAGTAGTTTCAAGGCCCTGGCGTAACAAAGGAGTGGAGGACCCTATCAAGGATGTATTTTAAAAGCTGGCACCCAGAGTCACTTATAGTTTGCAAATTCCCCACCCCTTGTTGGCGACCTGTCGAAGTTTAGTTTTTATCTCTGTTGTGGAGGCTTTAATATTCAGTTCATCAAGATAGAGCTTGCTCTAACAGACTGACGGACACAAGGACAACAAAGACTTAGTAATAAGGTTCTATCCTCACCATTTATATAGAAAACTTTAAAAATAATATGTGATGTATGTATGTAATATGTATGTATATGATGTATGTAATAATAATTATGTGATCTACCTCGGACATCTAACATTCAGAATAGTTACAATTACACAGTCTATCTCTTACAATGCTAAAGTATGCTGGTTTAAGGTGTGGCAATGGAGTGATACTTACTTTGTAAACACTGCAATATTCTTATACAGTTCAAGATTGTAAGCATTACAATAATTTATGATTCTGTTTTGTTATCACTAAGCAGTGTGAATTCATGTATTACAAATAGATTTAAAAGTTATGAGAACTAAATTTTGCCAAAGTTAGATAGTGTTTACTTACATCCTCTGACATCAGCTTCAAACAGAGGGTTCCACAACTGAGTAGAGTCACCTCCAAGCATCTGATAAACTATAAAAGTTATCAGAATTATACTCATTGCTGCCGTATAAAAGGCTATAACCTTACTTCCCGTCTTCACGTTTGAAGCCCAAATGCATGGTGACCAACAAGATTCTAATACCGGCATTTTTATTTAAAGACTTTACAGCAACTCCTTTACAACGTTTGCCGCTGACCCCTTCGTGTTTATCTGAAAGTATAAAGACAACACATTCAAAATAATGCCACACCTAAAAACGGTTAAATCTCTTAAACCTGAATAAAAAAAGGTTTGTGTAGACTAAGTACCTATTTTAATGAAATTCTCACCCCTGAAATCTATATCAGTTAGCGGTTCATTAATTTTTTTCATGTAATTAATGCAATCAAATAAATAAATTATTTTCTTTCGATATTATTGTTTTTTTTTTTGGTTAAGTTCTCCCTTTTCAGGGTAGGCAAGGGGAACAATGCCCATACAGCCTAGTCTTAAGTTAAATTATTCTGTTTTTCTTTTTACATTAGAATGTCGGTGTGACGCATTCTAATGTTTCTTGAAGTGTTTGGCACGAAATGTATCGAGCTGGCTTTTTCGATAAGCTTCTGTGAGGTAGTCAATACTACAATAAAATTCTCACGTCCACTTGACCGGAATAGCGTATATTATGACGATTCTACTAATTCTTTAGTTACGCAGACAGTTGTAACACAAAATCACACCAATTTATTTCACAATATCCACTATGAACGAATTTAAGAATAATTAAATTAAGACGCCAACCACACTCGATGAAATCCCGCCAAAAACTCCGATTGTTTTTTTTTAAATTCTCCCTTTTCAAGGAAGGAAGGCAAAGGGGACAATGCCCATACATCATAGCCTTAAGTGTTTTCTTTAGAATGTAGGTATGAGTGTGACACACTCCAATGTTTCTTGGAGTGTTTGGGACGAAATGTATCGAGCTCAGACCAAATAAAAAGTATAGACGGAGTCTGCCGAACCAAAAATTGAAGCCGATAAAACTACGCCTCGCCGTGTACATACATAGTTACACGCACACACATGCAACGAAACTACGCCTTGGCTTCTCAGTCGAGCTATCCCGACGCGCGGAGTGTGACGTAATAATAAATAACAATATTTATTAGAGAAAATGCCGAATTGTGTAGTGAAAACGTATAAAAACCAATCTTCCAAGAATAAAAAACAGGATGGAATCACATTTCATACGTAAGTAAAGTTATAAACTGCTATTTTCAATTAATCAAAATCAAATTTGAGGTTGTCGCTTTGTAAACAAAACCTGAACGAAATGTTGCCATGATTATTCGTTACAGTTTTACCCTTTTGTTGGGTAGCGTGAAATATAACGTAACGTTATTTTATTAAATACCATTGTGTGGCATACTTTTATATTATTCGAATATTGTAATGCATGGATAAACCATTACACGAAACATCTTTTTTCTTTATGTATTCGTATAATTTTTTTTGGGATGTAATACACATTATATATTATACGTTTTTTTTAAGATTTCCTAATCGAGATCAAGATCTAAAAGAGAAGTGGATTGCAGTCATTCGTAAGAGTAGAAATGAACCATTGTGGCAACCAGCTTCCCGCAGCGTGGTTTGTTCGACTCGTTTTCAGAGCGACGATTTGTACTACACAACAAAAGGGTTACGTCGTGTAAAACAAAATGCATATCCAAAGGTATTTTTTTTTACTATTATTATGGTTACTTAGATTAATTTATATTTTAAAAATTCCAATAATTTATTTGCTAACTGCTTATTGTTTGTTCAAGTCCCACCATCTATCATGTTGTGGTAGAACTACTTGCTTCAGTTTCCCCATTTTGCCGTATTATGCTACTAAATTAAAGCGAACTTACTTGAATTAAGTATCATTGTTCAATAAAAGTATTAGTACAATAGTAAAAATAATGTTAATTTGGTACTTAGCTAATTTTAAACTCAACCTTGACCGCAACTGTGCACACTAGAAAAATGCCTCATCTAATGTGCACACCGTTTTAAGATGCATCTACTTTTTAATGGCCTTTTTGACCCAAAATTCGCGATGTTTGTGGATTTATTTTATTATGTTCTTGTATAGGAACTAGTGATTATATTTTGTGTATTCTATAGAAAATTTCATGTACATTTTAATAAAAGAAACTGTTTATCAATATTTGTATATGCTTTTCGTTTTATCGACATAAAGTTGAGATGACTGATTTGTTAGCGATTTGAAGTGCCTTGTTGCGACTGCTTGAAACTATAAAATGAACAAACCTATTCCATCCGAGACTTGTAACTAAAGTTAAATAAACAATCCAACATAATTAAACGTCAACACATAGATCAAGGCACTTGGATCTCGCATTTGTTTTTATCAACACTTGAAACACGACCCTTTTTTTTCTGTTGCGTGTTATATTTTATAATTGTATTTTGTAAGTTATTATATACATTCATTTATATATAGTACATTCTATATGTACAAAAACCTGGATTTATAATTTACAAATTTTGAAAATATACCTCATTTTACCTATTTAAACGACTTTTTATATCTTTCCTGAGTTTACCATAATGTAATTAAAATAAATTATAGACATGACACATTGTTTACACACTGTTTTATTGAAAATTTTATGGAGAATCCAAATATAGAGAAATCGGCAGAACAATGCAATCGTTCTTACCCAGCGGGCGGGCGGTCCATAAAGAAGTCCGGCACTTGTAGGTGAGAACGGCGCATGACCTTTGGCTCACGAGAGGTTCAGAGAATAAGCTTACGATATTTTTTTCTAATATTTTATAACGTTATGAAATAACGTTATTACATTTTTCTAATATTGGGGTGTTTTATATGACTATGGTAACACTGGCTAATGCACTGCATACATAAAAAACCGGCTTCACTTTTTGGTTCGGCAGAATCCCGTCTTTACTTTTTATTTGGTCTGATGTATCGAGGTGACTTTTTCGATAAGCTTTTATGAGGTAGTCAACACTACAATAAAGTTCTCACGCCACTTGACCGGAAAAGCGCATATTTTAAAGACATTCTCTTTCGTTGCGCAGATGGTTGTAGGTAACACAAAATCACACCAATTTTATTTCACAATATATCACAATGAACGAATTTAAGAATAAGTAATTAAATTAAGACGCCAACCGCACTCGATGAAATGCCGCCAAAGATTCCTTGATTTTTTTATCTTCTTTCTTGGCATTGTACGACTTTTGCGTTTAGCCCAAAGAATAGGTTTAGCCACAGTCAATAACAAAAATTAGGGAAACGGAAGGATTTTAAAGCACAAGGGATACGGGTGCTTAAGAAAAAGGATCAGGGAAGTAAGAAGAATGTCATTTACATAGAATATACATATTATACAAAATTTGCAAATAATTAAGTCTAATTAACTAGGTAGATATAACTTTTAGTTTAGTATTATTTAAAAGAAGGAAGGAAAAATACACTCGTATACAGCTATATCATTTAATACTAGAAGTAGGGATTTTGTGGGAAGTGAGATATGTAGTGAGATCAACCACACTCGCAAATAGGATTATTTAGTATACCAAGCTTTGGAAGATGGGAAGGCACACATGTGTGACCTAATCTTAATCGAATTATTATTGAAATTTTCATTTTTCCCAGCTTGATTTACTAAAACCATGGTTTTATAGGTATGACTTTTTGAACCTGGCATTACAATCTACTGTTACAAGGTTACAAAAGTAACTGGATGGAGTGTAGTAACCTCGTGCGAAGTAGATTGCTTTTTTGCAAATGTATCATAAAAAGTGATAAATTATTTTCATTTTATAGATCTGTAGACTGATAGGAATCTGTTTTAGTTGGTGCAAGTTGAGACTTGGGGAATTTATTTGTTGAAAGGAATTCTTCTTTCCTTGGAAATAAAGTATCATAGCAATTACAGCTATTTTCACAATGATTAGCATCAGTTCCGTTCTTGTTTTGCGCCTTTATTTACACACATGCATACGACTGCGCTTACGAGAGCATCCCGATAAAGAGGCATCGGTCTCCATACTGGATTCATTTTAAATGGTACCTAACAAAATGCCCTGCTGGGGGAACTATGCCCCCCGGGTCGGGAGGGTCGTTCATTGTGAAGCCGGAAAAATATTAAAGACTTACCTATTCAGCTAAAAATATATATAAATACACTACAAAACACTAAAACAAAATAAATGTATTATGTAGATAAAATGTACTCCCACGGATCGTTCTTTTCAGTTAAACGTTTCCCTGAGTTTTAATTAGGTATTCTCAAATTCGTTCATTGTGCATATTGTGTAGGGCTGCCATCTCTAAAATGTGGCAACCAGGACAAGACGCGTGATAACCCCGGATTTTGGAGCCCAAAACCCGGACAGACCAATAAAAAAGCAGTTAAAAATGTCACAAATGATAATAATAAATATTTCCAACACTCACACCAACTAGCCTAGCCCCAAAGTAAGCACTGTAAGGCTTGTGTTATGGGATGCTAGGGTAACGGATAGAATACATATACTGTACATATATACGTATTTATACAGGGTGGTCCAACTAGTGATTTCAACAAATTTTTTTTTAGATTCCTCGCACCTGGGGGTGTCCGAAAATACCTCATGTATGTTCCGCGATTTTTCTTAGTTTTCGAGTTATAAATTTTTCTGTGTATTTTTAATGATTTCTGCCAGCACAGCAGTTAAAGTTAAAGTTACTCAAAAAAGGCTTGAAAGTTGGATCTTTAGTTTTTAATAGGATTTACTCAAACGTTCAACTTCAATACAAAAATACAAAAAGGAGTTTCCATAGCTTCTGGCTGAAATTAAAAACTCCGCATGCTCCTAAACTACCAAAAATCATAAAAAAAAATGTACTTAATCAGCCTATTTTTGTTGTAATTGGCTTTTGAAGGCGGATAGGCTAAAAATCATTGAAACACGATTAAAGCATTAGACATTATTTTATCTACTTTTTTCATTTTTATGGTAAATTAAACCTAAAAATGTAATTTCAAATTAAATTTAATTGAAATTTCTGTAAAATAACTTTAGCATGTTGATTTTTATAATAATTTCGGTTTCACTACTAAGATTTAAAATGTGAGCAAGAATAAAGATCAAAATGGCTAGTTGGGAAATTTCCTGTTTTTTGATACAAATAAAAACCATAAATTACTGAAAAATTACTATTTATTGCAGTAAATTTTCAAAACCCCTTCCTCCAACTTGAATACACAATTGACAATGTCTTAAAAAGTTATTTTTTAATTGTCTGAAGCTACTTGAATATTCTTGCTTTATTTTTCTTTCCGCTTCTTTATTTTTCTTTTAAGTTTTTGTCTCAATTCTAGTTGGCATTTTAAATCTTAGTGGTGAAACCGAAATTATTGTAAAATTAC